CACGTTTGCATCAATAACTTATCTCTGAAAATTCGATTGTTTATTGTAAGGATTTTCGATATTGAGATCTTATTTTATATGACATATTAGGATGGTTCATTTTTCTGCTGGAGATGTTGTGGGGTGAGAGGTTAGTGGCCATTGTTGCGCTGTGGGATGCTTTTTGGTGGACAAGGTACCCCCCACAGCGCTCGAACCGATCACATCCTCTCTTCCCGAAAGTGGTTGAGGTATGTAATTGGTACTGACATCGTGCCATGACACTTTATTAAACCGAAATTTCCTGATGCTGACAGTATTTAGGATTGGCATGAGTGCAGAAGGAAGAAATTGCAGCTGTGAGTGACGGGAATTTAGAAAGTTTCACTGACCTGAACATAATGTAATTCCGGTGATCGTTCGTACCTTCCAAATCTTCCATGTTCAATTCAAGCATTATCAATTATAGTATGACGTTTTTTCACTTTATAAAAATGTCTAATAAAAGAAAATTTAAATAAAAAAAGCTTGTTTTTGGATTGATACAAAAAGCGTACTGTAATACTGACTTGCACTTGTAATTAATAAGTGAAATATTTTCAAAAATGTGAAATATTGAAGAGAATTCCTAATTGTTTGAAGATACCAGCTAAAAAGTATGGTGCATTTGGCGTGTCACCACTTTTTAAACTTTTTCACTTCTAAAATTTGAATGCCATTTGTAATGTAAGTGATGTTTTGTATGGTCATTTATGTTACACTAGAAAAGAACTCGTTTTTTGTATTAGATTAATTATTGAAAAGATTGAAAAATTCTTGATTTCTTGTAGTAATTGATAGTTATGGTGACAATATTAACGATAGTGATAACGATAATGAAAATATGATAATCATTGTAGCTCATATTGCTGCACGATAATAATAATGATAATGAGCATTACTGGATTGCAAGGAATGACAGTGATAGCAGTGATTTACTCTGCCTGAGGCACTGAAAAGGAAAAAGTCATTTGTTGCCATTTGTTGCCTTTGTCGCATAAAGGAAACAAATGCTTTTTTATCCGAAAAACATCTTAACTTCAACTTCATCGCCTCTCACTCTCATCCATCCCTTTCATATTTTTCCTCCTTTTCGCTTCGTTTTTTTTGCTGAATCAGCGAGATCATTCATTGTTATTATTATGCTTGAAATAAGCTTCCTATATGGATATTGTTGCACTGCAAACTGCTTACATGCATGTTGCTTACTGCAAATGCATGATAGTCCTTTTTTGTAGGACTTAATGATTGATATTTTAGAAGATTTTGTCTTTATTAATTAAGATGTTTGTTAGTTAATTTAGAAAGTTATGGTAAATGAATGAAGGCAGAGTAAAGCATATTTAGAGTTTTTGAAGCAAACTATTTTCTTGATTTTTATGAAATTATATCAGTTCAGATATTAGATTTTCTTACCATTGTATAGTTGTTATAAGGGGTTATTTTTTATGAATGTTTTTTTTTTATTCCAATAATTTGTTGCAACAATTGTATCATTGGAAAATGCTATAGAAATATTTGGTAATTTTAACTAAGTTTTGGTGGATTATTTATTTAACTGTTTTCGAATTGTCAATTGCATCTTATAAGTGTAGGGGTCATTTATCTGTGATAGTAACTGATAGCTATTTTGAAGAGCTTGAGAATGCCATGATGGACCATTTCAAATCCGACAAATTAATTATCCATTTTGATTGCATACATTCTTTGCTTCATTTATTGAAAAGTGATTTATTTATTTAGATGAATGGAACATATTTGATCATTTCTAATACTAGTCCTATTTTTTCTAAATTTATGAATTTCTAATTTTCAAATTTAACTTGTCTTTTTAATTGATAAAAAATGCCGTTCTATAATTAGATACAACGCAAACATTATACAAATTTCCATATGCAAAAAAAGAAAATTTGTTGAAGAAATCAAAATCAAAAATTTAAAATTATTAAATAGCAAATGATGTAAAATGTTACTAATATCTTCAGACTTACTGTTTTTCGATGTAACAAAGTTAGTTTCAAGAACTTGTTTTCAGTTATCTCATAGAGTGACCATAGGATATCAGCCGATAGCAACAACAATCAGGTTTGTTTGATATTGGTCGCCTTGTCGGGGATAGCTTGTAGATGTTGTTTGGTTTTTTTAGGATATGTTCTGACACGTCCCACTCTCGAAAGGAGGAGGAGATCATTTTTGCTTTTAAATTAACGCTCACTTCGTTCAGCAATTTTTTCCGGTGTAACTTGCGCTGCTGGTTATTTTGGCAGGTTTGGATGGGATTGAGATGCTTCTCATTGTCTTATCATTTTACTTTGTAATGTTATTGGAAATAATGAAATAAAATCCCCAAATGTATTATTTATCCTCCCTGACCTTATGAACTTTACTGTTTACGCTTGCACATTGTGAATGTTAATAATTTGTAGCTCTAACAGAAATAGATTAACACTTACCCTTAACTTCAATATTTCAGTAAATATTTCATTGTTGACTTGTTGCGTTTTTTAAATTTTATGAATAGCAAAATTTCTTTCTTCTAACAATTGAATTCAATGTTTTCATTGAAAAATGCAAGTTCTGGATGATTCTTCAACAACTTTACGATAACATAATGGAAAGGAAAATTAGGAAATTCAAATCACCTCTTTTATTTTCTTCCATCTTTCAGTGATCATAATTCAGGAAAAAATTTTTGTGTATAATTAGTTTCTTCATTTCATTGGAGGATTCCGATGAACAAGAGGAGGGAGAAGAAGCTGTCTGAAATCGAAACGATTCTCGATTTCGACCCGTATCCTACACCAATGTTAAGTCCAATCTCTTCTCACCATTAAAATCTTGTTTTCCACTAATTGTCATGTATGTTTTCTATGCATTTACTATTATATCTTCCGATATATACCTTTGATCATTGTTATCGTCATCTCACAATGCTATAGCATCGTGAAATCTTGTTTTTACATTACCATTTTAATTCAATGATTTACCGCAGTGTGATCAGATCTGATCGAATTAGTGTTGATCAGATTGTCCATACTTCTAATTCACCCATCCCTTATTTATTAAAGATTGAAAATGAAACTCAATTACTGTAAATGTGAATAGAAATAGTCTGATGAATTTAATTGGCGGTAATATTCCAGAAGAGACGCGTTGATGACAAGTTGGAACTGTTGTTCTGTTAAGGTGTCACTACAAGTACATTTTGATGCTTCCGATTTGTTTTATAAATGTTTCAATTTCTGATATATTAATGTGAATGAATCTTTACCGATTAGGATAATAACTTGTTTCATCAATAACTTGTTTTTTCGAAAAATTCCCCCACACTTTTCAGACTTTCAAGCAAAAATTTTGAGAAAAAAAATATTACGGGAGAAATGGAAGAATAGGGAGAATGGAATACATTTGAACGTTTTATTCCGTAACAGGAAATTTTTTTTAGTAATTTAAAAACAAGGTCTTCACAATTCAAGCTTGCTGATTAAAATTACATTTTTAAAATTAAAATTTCATCAATGATCAATAAAAATTAGTTCGATGATTTTTTTTCCTCATTTCATTCTACAGAAATAAGTTTTGCGATAAATTTAGAATTGCATATAGCGGCATTGAAAAAAGAAATCAAATAGAATAGATTTACAATCATGTTATTCAATTTCGTGAACTAGAATTGATTTGAATTTAGAAGCTTACCAAAGTGTATTTCATTTTTAGAGTTTTTATGCAGTCCAAAATGAAATCCGTCTCTTCTTTTCCGGTTCTCATTGCTTATGCTTTTTTCCGGATAATGATTAACATATATATTGCATTTCATTTCTCATTTACGTTTTTTCTTCAACACATACACGCACAAATTGCGTGGTCGGCAATTTTTTTCATCCTCAAGCGCAACTGTTGTCATAGTGCCAATCATCTTGCAAGTACGGCCTTCAGTCAGTCATTAATTCAAAATTATTTAAGAGATATAATTCAATCGATCCTTCGCTTATTATCGTTTATCATCATTTATTCATTTATTGATGTCTTTTTGTGTTAACATATTAAATAATTGACTGTATTATCTGTTGGGGTCACTCAAGCAGCCATTGGTTTTAATCTCATTCGTTTCTCATCGAAATGTTGCATTTTTATATAAATTTTCAATTGTAATTTAATGGAAAGAATTTTTTTAATAATAATAAACTTATAAAAAGGAAGGAAATTTTGATTTTGAAATGCTCTAAATAACAATTACTAATAAATTTAAAGGAAAACTTGGTATTTTATATTAAATGTGCAGTGGGAATGATTTTATCATTTAGTTGAAAAACTTTTTTATTTCACTTTCCTGATATCAGTTCAAATTGATTCCGATAAGTATCCGCTGATAGCCAAATCATTTTTATCATTTCTTTTTTTTTCCGTTTTATTATTCGCAGAGCCAAGCATTGATGCAAATGAAATAAGTGTCCTTTTGGCCATTGTCCACTTTTAACTATTTCGTCCTAGCTGTGAACATTCCGAAATGAAGATAACTCTTCTAATTTTTTCCTTTAAGTAACTTTTTGCTTCATATTTTCATATTTTTTCTTTAAACCATTAACCTTTTGAATTCACACACTTTTATGATATGTTTCGAATTATGGTGGCCTGCTTTAATTAGCAGTAATTTGAAATTGTTAGAATTGCATTGTTGATTTGTTTAGAAAGACAATGATGATTAGTAGCCATTCACGTTATGATTTATATCCAATGAACAAGAGAGAAATAATAACAAGGAAGGAATGCGAATGTCATAGGTCAACATTTTTGCGCTGCGCTAATTGCATAATGATATATAATTTTAATTGATGTGTAATTTTTTTGCAGCTTTGACAGTCTTATTCATTCGCCTAAGAGCGTAATATTTCCGCTTTGGAGAGCATAAGCGGAATATTCCTCTACCATTACTAATTACTATAAATAGTACCAACTGGCTTAATTCGTTCGGACAAGTGACAATGTCATCTGGCAGTTTGATCATGGATAAGCCATCATCTACAGTGTCCTTTTTACCTATTAAAACTGAATTGGATCTCAATTCACATGATCAGACAAATCACTTACAGGTAAGCTTGTAGTTTCTTTTTAATTTAATCTCTTGAAATTGTGCAATTTTTGTTAAGTTGACGATCCATTCTTTTTCATGCTATTAAATTTGTGCTTTTGTATATAATTTAATATTGATTATTAAAGTTTATATTTTAAATTTCATCCTTATTCAAATTGTGCCACTCCACTAATTTCATCCATTTTCAAATTTTAATTATTTTAAAATAATTTTGCGTGAATAATAACATTGAAAAGGATTCATTTCCCTTTGCATGCAAAGTTATCCATTTGATTTTCTATTGTTTTTTTTATTCATTCTTCAAATTTTTAAGCAGCTGTAATTGCTAACATTGTTTCTACTTTTTCAGAAGACCTTTTATTTTTAAATTTTAAATGACTCGGGAAACACTTGGTTAATCAATATTGCTATTCGACAGTTGAAAAATGATCTGAATTTGATTTTTTCCTATCATTATCATATGATTCATTTTTAGCCATGAATTTGAATTTGAACTGCAACTTGAGAATTCTTAGATTTAGTTTTTTCAGAATTTATCACCGATGGAATTAGTAAAATTGGGACAACATTTTCAGTTGGATATAAATCATCAACAAACTCAGCAACATTATTCCACCGTTCCAACATCCACATCAAATGGTTGGGATCCTACCGAACATTTTGGCTCATTGAAGGTTTGCTCTTATGAGGTATACACTTCTTCCAGCCAAGAAATCCTCATTTTTTTTTCTCCTCATTTCTCAAATTTGATTTAATTTATCTGAATTGTAAGAAGTATCAAAGCATTAAAAAAATTTTTCCAAAATGAAAAATTCAAATATTTGTTATTGCATATTTCTTTTCAGTACTTAAATCTTTCAAATGGATATGAATTATTTGACTCACATTGTTAAATTTTATTTTAATTACTGCGATAATTTACCTTTTTTTACTTTCATTTTTTTCACTCTAATTAAAAGTTAATTATTATTGATCATTTTCAAACATACAGGTTGCTAAAAACAGTTCAACACCGTACACAGATGCAACAAACTGTAAAAAATCAAGCAATCATATTAAGCGTCCAATGAATGCTTTCATGGTTTGGTCACAAATGGAACGTCGGAAAATTTGCGAAACCTCACCGGATATGCATAATGCGGAAATTAGCAAAAGGGTTTGAAATTTAATTCAATTCATTGTTTCAGATTTTTAGAGGGTTGTTCTGTGAATTTTTGTTGAGTATAGTTTTAAAAAAATACTAAATTTATAATAATGAAAACTTTTTGATGAACAATATTCTTTTAATCTCTACAATTTCGTCACTTTTCAAGTTTAGCTTGGCTTACAATGGCGTCAATTATCGGATAGTGAGAAAGCGCCATATATTGCGGAAGCAGAACGATTACGTGTGATGCATATGAAGGAATATCCGGATTACAAGTATAAACCGCGGAAGAAGCCAAAAAAAGGTGCAGATGGACAGGTTGCGGTATCTGCAAGTAATTCTTGTCCGATATCCGGTCAGACAGTACGACAAAATGGCATTACTTCATCGATTACTGGTGCTGGTCGACCAAAAACACACAAACGGTACATTTGGTTTTGGAATTATTTTCTCCACCAATAATCAATAATCAACTAATCAAATATAATCATAACCAACAATAATCAAATATAGAAAATGAATTAATACTTCTCATTTAGAAATATTTATTTTAGAAATTCAAACATGACTGTATAATATGTTCCGTTCAGTGTTTGCTATTACAGAAATTTATTTAGTGCGTATTTCAGCATACTTGGTTTGTCAATGAATGGTCAGAATGAAACTCATCATCATTTGCCATTTTCTGGTAAATCGATGAAGATTGATCACGATGGTATTCGTTATTTAAATTCCACCACGAACGATTTGAAGACATCACCACTTGCAAATATCGCTATAAAACAGGTATATTGCAATTATGTTGGAAAGAGAAATCAACATTGAATACTTTAAATACGACCTTTATGAAAATACACAGCAATTCTAAATTTACCTGCAAAATTTTACAGGAAGGATTATTTCAACAGCCATTTCCATCACCGAATAATTTTATCAGTACACCAATGACACCGGAAAGCGGCTTTTACGATGATTTTTATACGTCAGCTCAACATTCCGCCGCTTCAATGTATTCAGCTAATGTACCATCACAACATCTGTTAATTCCGTGTACAAAAATGGTTAACTTTTCCTGTAATTCACTTAACAATTGTATGCTTCGGTTGTATTGGAAGAGATATTTTTTTATTAATTTCGATAAATATTGATGTTGCAAAGAGAATCTGAAATGTTAATTTTTAAAATTTATAAAAATTTACGGGATGATTGCAGAATCATATGGGTGATGTAAATACTTCCTATAGCACAAGCAACGGTAGCACATCATCGATGATGCATCATCAGCCCATCTCCGCGTACTATCAGCAGCCATCAACCGGACAATCACCAATTGCCATTCCGAACAACAATGCAGTAATCGCTGACCAAGTATGCATGATCCTTCTTGTCCATACGTTAATGAAATCTGTTACTTCTCATCCATCTGTCGCTTTAATAAATCTTATAATTCAAATTATTATTGATTGATTGATTTTTTTTTCTAAGGTTAGTTATGGTGCAGCTACTACATACCAGCTCTGATCCATTTGTATTTTCGAAATAATGCTACTTTAAAATTAGGATGAATTACGTTCGATGTCAAGCGGGTCAAGCAGTGGATACGGAAGTACAGGAACAGCCGTTGATACAGAAGCAGCTACAAGTTCAATTCCCATTATCACTCATGTAATTAATGTACGTTCCCCAGCTTGCTCCATGTCATACTATCCATCAGGTGGTCCCAGCACCAGCTCTGATCCATTTGTATCAAGCGGTTCAACCCGGCAACCATCTGCGCCACCACCACCACCGCCACAACCACAACCACCACCACCACCTCCACAAACGCAACTACAATCAGATGATCCGAATCAATCTCAACCCGATGCAGAGCTTTTACCATCGATCAGTGACTTCCAGTTTCCAGCCGCGATGAACAGTATGTGGGGAGCACCGATCAGTGCAGATTTGTGGACTGCGACATCAGCGCACACAAATCATCAACTTGCACGAACACCAGCAAATTACGATACTTATTGCAATCGTATATAAAAGAAGTAAATTTACCGAAATTTTTTTTTGAAGATTTGAAACTTCAAAAATATGAACTTCTGGGTAATATGGAAATGAAAAAAGACATCAGAATATGATTTTTATTGCTATTAGTTTAAATTTGATACGCTTTACGGCATATTGCTGCTAATGGTTATCAGAAAATGATAATGTGCAATGAACTCTATTTTCATTATTAAGTCCATATCAGATGAGAATGGTAAAGTCTTTTAAACAGACTAACAAACAGTTTAAATTTCATATTGACTTTTTCGCAGCTATTTTTATAAGCTGACCTATTGTACCTTTTTCATCTCTCTATTATCATCATCATCATTGCATAAATTTACTCTGACCTCATATAATAATTTCCTACTTTTTTTCTGTTGAAATCATTTTAAAGCAATTTATATTTTTTTTAGCGTCGTTTTGATGCTTCAATGTACAGTTTTCTAAATGTTGTGTTTTCAAAATAAATATTTTTGTTAATAGTCTTTCTTTATGATTTATTCATTCATTCAATATTCATCACATGTTTTTCGGATAAATTTACCGAAAATTTTCAGAAATATTCAGAGGTAATATTACAAAAGTGCGTAACTTTTAAGTTACGCACTTTTGTAGTTATTTTCTAAATTTTGATTTAAAATTGGTATTGTGATTTGGATTTTTAAAGGAGAAAAATTTTTAATTCTCTGATCATGCATACATATACTTACATGTATACATATACATATATGTATCTGTTTGATTTTTTTTCAAAGAGTTGATCGTTCTGTTTCTGTGTGACAGATGAGAAATTATATGTGGGTTTACCGGGTTTTTAAAATTTTTTGCACTTTTTTTTGGAAGCATTTCAAAACGCGAATGGTTTGATAGTTTATATAAAATAGTCAGTCATCCGTTGATTACTGTATATCCTTGCATACTTATCTTACAAATCCGGTATATTCGCATGCTTTTTTTTTCATTTAAAGATATAAGTATTAAACTCATTGTGTTTTATGTGTGATTCGATGTTTTATCAATTACAAATTAAGCTTATCATATCGCTATCAATACTACACTATTTTGAAATAATGGAAAAGTACGATATGCATTGCTTAATTGCTAAGATACATTCTACCATTTAATTAATTACGAATTAATTCACTGTTATACAATGTTTTGGAAAACGCATCTTATAATTGCTATAATGATAATTTATAGCTGTCACAATGGGATGATGCACAGTAAAAATGTGGAAAAACGCTTTTATTTTATTCAATCTTTTAATTCCATTCAATCATTTACTCATTCATTCATTCATTCATTCAGTTAAAGAGTTCTAATTATATACCTATTTTTCTGTGTCATAAAGTGTTATTATGATTTTGTTGAATAGATTATGTATTTTATTATCTTTTATCACTTTGTTCTCCTTAACGATTTAATAATGACTTACATGACTTTAATTAAAAAATGATTTTACATAATTTTTTAGTCGCTCATAATGCTTTCTCCCATATTTGTGAGAATTTTGTGGAAGTTAATTTAGATTATGTAACATATGATTTTAATCGTCTTTTCCTCCATTTTAACTGTTGGTGAATTTATGCGGGATAAATTAGCAAAGATTTACCAACTGTTTCAATTCACAGGTTATTAATTTTTTTTTCTATTTTCGTTACATGAAAATATATGATTTTTACAGAATATAGCATTTGTTGTGACCATTTATTTTTCGTTTCCTGTCATTCGTTACTGTGTTTGTTGGTGTTTTTTCGGTATACTAATAGAATTTCGAATAAAATTTACCGGAAATATAAGTAAAATATGCAGGATTGAAAGATGCCAAAAGAGAAGGAGAGAGGGATTGTGATAGAAAAGGCTAAAGGTTAATAATGTATGGAAGCAGTACAAATTATCCTAACACAATTATATTTTTTTCATTCCTCCAGTTTATGCTTAATTTTCCTTGATTTTATATTTCTGTAAATGTAATTCAACTTTAAAGGTGAAAGAAAAAATGCAAATGTATCATTGGAAGCGGTGAAATTACTATTATTTGCATGTCTTTGATGTGAGACGTCGATGTATGGGAAGTGAAATTATTGATATTTTTTGGATATCGAAAGGAAGCCAGAAAGACTGTTCCGTTAACGCACTCAGAGATGGATGAAACATAGCAGCAAGAGATTCCCGCACGGTTGAATTTCTCGTTGATTTATATGTAAACGGTGCAGGTGAGTAAAATTATTTCAGTAGTTTCTTGTAAAGAAAACAACTTGAAAATTCGTGGAAGGTTATATCAGAAAAAAAAAAAAACGTTTTCACTTGATGACCCAAATGTTACAGCTAATATATTACTTCCCCAATATTGCACTGATTTGTTAAACTGACCTCATTAATCCCACGCCAATATTTGATTTTGCTTTTACGCTTATGAAGATGGAAGTATCGATGGGATCTGAAATTCTCAGTTATTTTCAATGGTGTGAATTGTAAAAGCACATCTTACTAAAGACATCCATAAAAAAGTATATGAATTGTTTTGAAAATGAAGGAAGCTATAAAAATTTCTTTCCAAAATTTGACCAATTTTAAAGCTATTATTTTAATGTGAATTTGACAAATATCAAGTTAGTAGAAACATGCTAATTAATAATAATATTCATTACTAAATCTTGTAATGAAAAGATATACCACTGATCAGTAAAAGTTGGTCAAATTTGTTTGTTCAAATTCATGAAATTTTTGTTAAAAAACACATTTTCAATTCTCCTTGGTAGTTTAGTGACCATTTGCAGCGGAAAGAGAAATCTGGTCTTGTAGCCAAAAAATGCGCTATCGATAGGAGGGCATTCCGATTTTTCGATTGTATTGTATTGATGGCGGAGAAGTTAAAAACAAGTTTTCATGATGTTAGAAGATTGAATGAAGGATGACTGAAAACAGGAATGACGCCTTTCTTTCATATTTTCAATTTTTTCATACCGAAAAAACTTTTGGAACAATTTTTTTTTCTTTTTGATGCTAGAAATGTTTAAAAACATTAATTAATGCAATTCATTACTTTCTGACAACTCTTTCACCTTTTGATATTATTTACTAAACTCAACATAAGAATATTTTGTATTAATTAGTAATCTTGAAAGGCTAACAACTAAATCCTTTAGCATTGGTTAATATTTCACGACTGGATCAAACATCATTATATCATATAATTGATAATGCTACTTGCTTGCTATACGGTAATAAACAATGGTGAAAAATTTTTAAATAAAACAGTACATTTGTTTTTATTAATTCGAGTTTCGAAGCCAGTTTAATTAATTTCTTAAATATTATATTTTTTCTTAATTATCCACAAAAAAATCCGAGCTATCATACAATCATTTCTAAGTGAAGTATAGAAGATAGTTGAAAAACGACTACCAAAATCATCATTAAACATCGAAGAAATTGAAAATATGAAATTTTTGAAACTTGATTTTGAGAATATCCGAGAAAGCAGAAGTGTGATTAAAATATATACTCAGGCACTTTTGTCATAATTATCGAGCAGTTAATCGGAATATTTATTATTATGAAAACTTTTGAATAGCAATCATTGAAGTGATATAATTTCATCAATGATTGCAAATAATATGTGATTCATAGAAAAGTTGCTCATTTTTACATTTAAAAAAGCATATAGATCGAGCAATCCAACCAGCCAATGAATGACCACCGAGAAAATGTTCCGAAATATTGGGCATTTTTTTTCATTCATATCTTACTGTATGACAATAATATGTCAACTTTCTTCTCCACAAATAGTTTATTCAATTAGCAGCTTTATCAATGAGCTAGCTGATTTGATAACTGCTTATCAAACTACAAATTATCTGTCCTGTTGTAACTTATCAATGAGTACAAGTGGAACTACTTTAACCCAAATAAATCAGTCCTTCTGTTGCAGTATTCCATCATTTTTATAAAAAAAGGAAGGATTTCTTTGATAGCTTTGTAACCGGCATAGGTTGGTTGGAACGAAAAATCTAAAAGATACGAAATTTCAGAGTTTTCCTTTTTTTTGTAGGAAGTTTTGCTACTTTTAATTAAAGTACCAAGATTTTAAATGCATCAGATAATGCGAAATAATCTATGTAATGGTCATTATAGACTGTGTGGAGAACAAAAAATGGAATATCAGTTAATATTATTTGAATTATTAAAATTTTAAATCTTGTATACCATTTTTGTTGTTATGAACTTGTAATTTTTACATTTCAATCTTTTAAAAGCAAACTGTAGGCAAAATTTTTTTATTGTACATCGATGTTTTTTTTTATTTATTACTTCATTAAGTGTTTGATTAATTTTAACATCAGAATTTACATATTTCTAACATCGATTCAACAAGTTTTTTTTATTCATCAAAAATGATAGTCTTTGAGAATGAAAGGAGCAAAATAAGAAAATTTTCACAAATCAGAAAAGAGTAGAAAAACAGCTATTAGCCTTTTTTATTGATATATGAAAATTCTGAGTCGAGAGGAAACCAATTTTTGATGTAGTTTAAATTTTTACGAGAAAAATTTCTTTTTTCAAACAAATATATTAGCAAATCACAAAGGGATAAGCTTAAATAAATGACTGATTCATTATCATTGTTCTCTTTCTAAATTTAAAAAAAGAAATCTTATGATGGATTTAGATTTGCATGTTGGAGGAAATCTGAAAGATGAGAGAATTTGATCAGTGATCAATCTTCGAGCATTCATTTATATTTGTGAGTGAATGGATGGGTGATATATTTGAATGCAAGAATTATTTTCTGAGAAGGATCGAGAAGTGAATTAGCAGTTAGCTAAATGCACTTTGACCCGATAGAATTGTTTATGGATAATCAACCACCCGTTACCATTTGGCCCATAACTGCAACGATTTGACATAATCATTTTTTGGTTTGCGTAACATCGAAACAGCAAGAAAGTATCATTTTTCTTGCGATATGTAAACAGATTATATATGGCTTAGATTAGTTTTTCACGCCTTCTTGCATTTCATAAGAGGGAACCAACAAAACACACACGATGGATAGGCTTATTTTCAAAGTGAACTTTGACCTGAAAGAACGTTTATTTTGCTTGTCCTATCATTTAAATGATCATAAATCTTTCCCTTATTACATTTCTTTTTCAATCAGTTTTCCAGTTTGTTTTTCAGTTAATAAGTGAAATTTTCCGGAAAAAATCCAGATAGTTTGGAAAAGGAATTGCTAGAAATTCGATTAACGACCTTAAAAATTTGTTCCAGTAATCCTCAAAATTGCTACTTCTTGAGCATATGTTTTCAAATTATAAACCGAATAATCTTAATTAAAATATTATTACCATAAGAATAGAATAATTGTGATGTTATCACCGAAACAATTATCGCTGCAATACTATGCAAATTCATGTTTATCTCATTTTCCAATCTAAATTACATTGGCCATGTAATTCACTATATATTTACTTATTACAGTGAATTTACGAATGAATCATGGATGCAACAGTATGAGTTTGAGGTTTCTATTTGTAATGAAATAAAATTTGTTTGGGATGAAATTAAATAGTATGTTTTGATTGATTGACAGGTTAATCCGATTAGAATTGATACTGTCTGCTGGTGAGAAGTGCGTTTCTTGAATTTTAGTCATTAACCATATAGCATTTAAGATGTCAAAAAAATATTCATTTCAATTTCTTAATTACATCATTAAGAGCGTAATAACATCACTCCTATATGCCAATCAGGGAATGTAAAATCTAGTTTTTACTGACATTTCCATCACTGCAATTAACTTCTCACGAAATAAGTACTACAGATATTTTGAAATGTAATCAATTCCATTCATTACATTTCCATACATTTTCTACCATAATATCATTCTCATCGATACTTACGAGAGTAATTACCAAAAAACAAAAAAAATTTCGTTCATTTGCTACAACAGTGAAAATGTAAAAAAAAGTTACCACTTTTGTTTACAATGCTGTAAACTTTTTTTTTTTGATAAGTCAATTTAATTCATTCATTAAATGGAAGAAAAAAGGATCAGGTTTAAATCGTGAAAATGTAAAACAAAATTTTACTGAATATTACTATTTGATCACTTTTTCAAGTTATAGAAAAAATGGTAACTGGCAGCGTACCGCAATGTGCTCACCATGTATGTATTAGTTTCATTTTATAAGTAACATTGAAAATTAAACTTTCATTCATAACCAAAATTAATTTGTAACGATGATGCACCGAATCTGTTTAGTACCATGCAAGTATCAGGGAATTTCGACTAAAACAAAAACAAGGAAAAATACAATTTCTTTTCCTTTCACAAAATATGTAAAGAAAAGTGTACAAGAAGCATTATTGGATTGCTTTTTTCCAACTAACATGTCAATCGGATATTTTTTTTTTATTATACGTTGCTGAAAATTGTTACGATGAAAAAGAGTTGAAAAGAGGTTGAAAAAAAAGAAGGAAAAAAAGCGCCGCTCTATGATTAACAACGATTTGTGGTACATTCTCACACCCCCATGCCTTTCCATCACCTCCCTGACAGTAATCGGTTAGGTATCTTTTTTCTCCCGTCCATATATCAGAAAAAAAATGGATCAATTTCAAAACTTCAAGATCACAAAAAAAGAAGAAAAAATGTCATTAATTAAACATGCGAAATATTGGAATATTTCAAAGAATGTGAAAAATCACTGATGAAGGGGAGCGTATCATAAAATTGTTAGTCCCTTTGAAATGTTTAAGAAATGAAGGTGATTAGTTTTTATTTTCTTTTTAAGATGAATGTTCTTGAATGAAATAACACTTTTTGCATTCGTATGAAAGTTCAAAGGATAAAAAAAAGCCTTGATAAGAGGAACATTGATGAATTGTTTAGACAATGAGTTCCAGTCATTCTATTCAGTTAATTCTATCCCAGTTAACTTTTCCGATTAATGACTGCATTCTACAAATGAGTTGTGCAATTTCCCATATTCTCTTAAATGCTTATTTGTCATTTCAACAGTTGACAACTCTCCCGTACGTGTGTTACAGAAATTTAAAAACTTACATATTTGCGCATGTTCAAAATATGCAAATGCGCCATAAAATGCTAAAGATTGAGGGACAGTATACAATCGTTGTAGCATTGATTAATTTAAAGAGTGCACAATAATGAACATTTAATGGCATCACAGATCTATTATTACTCAATTCCATTCGATCGCTTAGCTCTGCAAGAAGTTCTTTGAATAAATTATCACGAATTATTTTGCAAATCATTTTTCCATTAATTTCCAAATGTTCTCGTGTGTAAACTACAAAACCTGTTAATATGTGATGAATCGCTTTTGAATTGATTTTTTAGACTGTTAAATTTTGATTTTTGTAGCAGTATAAAACCTCAGCATTTCATATCAGATATTCTCCAGATAAATACGCGATAACATTCACTTCAAAATTACATTACCGAAAATTCTCATGGATTTCTTATTTCATGAAGCGATAATTCCACGACTCCACGCACGTACGAGATATCAATAGCAGTGCGTGGGACAATTAATTGCGTAGTGTGGCAAAACAAAAGCTGGAAGACGGAAGTAAAATCGCTGCAGAAGACGGATTGCTTCTTTGAAATATTTCCTCGGCAGGTTTGTGTATGAGTGGCGAAAAAAGGCATCAGATATGAGTTTCTCTCAGGTTCATCTCCTCTCTCGCTCTCCTTCTCTCGTCTCTCTCCCTTCCTTCTTTCTCCTCTTCCCGTTCTCTCTGTACCTCCTTCAAGTTCCCTGTTGTTCATGGCATCTTTACGCATTTAAAAAAAAATGAACAGTCACTCCTCTCTTTCACTATCAGCCATTCAAAGGTGGATGAAAATTGACTAAAATCAAAATAATAAAGTCAAATTTAAAGCGTGAAAACTGATTTTAAATTTTATTTCATTATTTTGATTTCTTTCTCATTCGCTTTCGTATGGCATATTGCAATTTCGGCTTGCGGACAATTAAAATACTAATCTGAACTCACTCAAGTGCAGATTGGTAATGACCAGATGGCCATTGAGCAGAAGATTATTTCCTGTGCATTGTATTGAATGTGTAAAAGCTAACGGTTCAAGTTCAAATGTCCTCCGATCTGTTTCGGTGGAAAGTATAAGCCTCAAAACTGTACAAGAAACGACGAAGACAGCAGTATTGATGTTACATCATGGACAGCCAAGGACACCGTATTATGCCACGAAGCATTTGGCTAAAGGCGCTCATTATTACTACAAGTTACCTCTCTGGCTTACTTCGTATGCATGTTTTATTTTTTCTTTAATTTTATTTCCATAAAGTTCTGATATCTTTATTAGGACTGGTCGGTGTATGAAATACGTGGTACACAGTCCAACATGTCACTCCTGTCGGTCAGTACGGTCTCTCTTAATGGTAAGAGGGCTTAAATGCCTTTTTATGTATTAGCTATTTTTTTGCATAACACTCAGTTTGAGAAAGGAAGGAAGAAGAAATTCATCCATTCGTACTTCAAATTTTGAAAAAAAAAATGTTTTAAAAATCGTTTATTTCAAGACGTCTGACACGATTATATTGGCCATTGGCGAAGAAAGTTAACTTTTGTGTTGACGATTATAAATACAGCGAGAACCTCACGCATCTTATCAGTACATATTCGAGAATACTACAAGAATATTTGAATGAATTAGTTCCGGAACATCGATCATTCTACTGCACTCATGCATTTCTTTACGACGAACCAGCTATCCCGAAAACTATCAGTGAATTGATAAGGTGATTTCAACTTATAATAAATTAGTTTTTTTTCTCAAAAGGGTATTTAGTAATATAAGGCATGATTTTACTCTCGATTTTCCAACTCCTCAACGAGACAAAACTTGTCCTTGATTTGTTTCAATTAATTTTGGAACTTTAATGTATTTGAAATGTCCTTATTACTGTAATTGATGACCTTATTACTTTCAGGCAAGGTATGCAACGGTTGATTTTATTACCACTTTATCCACATTATTCATGTTTTCAAACTGGAACAATGTTAAATATTGCCGTTAAAGCTCTTGATGAGCAAACAAAACCACTGTCAGAAGATGGTATATACTTAATGGATTACAGAGTGAGAACTATGTCCCATGTATCATTTCGTTGTAGTACTATTGACCGGTGGAGTAATCATCCAGTTGTTGTTAATGTGAGTTGGTTAGAGATCCATTTAAAAACTTTAAGACTTATTTTGTTGGATTAGCATCAGTGAAGATTTTGTTTCAATTACATCAAATTCTTTGTAAATTTGAACTCAGTTTTTTGAGTCACACTCGTTCTGTCGATGTAGTTTTACTATATATCTAGTCCAACATTTATCTGGGAAAGAAAGAGGTAGGAGTATTGAATTTTGAGATGTGTATTGGTCTTGATAAGATTACTAAAAAATCCTGAGTCAAAGTGAAAATAAACCGAAATTTTCTTCCTCGAATAATGTTGGGAAATAAATTTATAACACTTTCAAGAAAATAAAGCGAAAAGGCAGCTATGTTTCCTTTAACAAAACTATGGCTATTTGACGCATTCTTTGAAATTTATTGATCGATATCAGGAAAAGCTTGCTAATTTTCTCTCACAGTTTAGTTTTGGTATGATTTGCTCTGTGCCGAACTGAAGGATCACGACAGCTTACTTTTTGTCGCGCCACAAATGGTCATTTTTTAAACCTTTCCTTTCTATAATGACAAATTTATAATTTTCTTTTTTCATTTAATATAACAAATAAAATTTCAAGGGGAGGTTTTATTTTATCTATTTTTTAATTTTATCTTTTTTTTTTGTTTTCGTATAGTTTAAGCTTTGTTGACACATTAATTTCAATGTAAAAAGGATAGAAAGTCAGAACGATCTTATTATACTGAATAACATGAAAGAGTTATAAATCTTTTTCATATGAATGAGTATATCAATGTAGAGGTCTCATTTGAAATGAGAAATAAATCCGGTACATTTAGTTTTTCTCGAGGATCTGTTCGTGAATCCATATTTTATAACCGATTTTTGTGCTCTGTGAGATTATTCAGAGTAGCCCATAGAACTTTGGTAGGGGTAATATGCCATATTTTAGCGTGGTTATAACTCTTCTGGCTACATACGAGAAATTTGGGCAACTTGTTATCGCTTAATGGAACATCTGAATGAAGCTGTGCCCTGGAAACTTGCATGGTTTAGCGGCTGGGATCAGTGGCCGGCAACAACACTGGAAAGTATTAATTTACAGTTATATTTCTTAAGAAGGGAGAAACGACATCGTACTTTAGTTGTGCCTATTGCATCAATAATGCCTTCTTTCGAAAGTGAAACTCTACTACCATATATTTTACAAAATGAGGTAAGTTGATTGTATTCGCTTCCAATCATCATTCCATTAATTGTTTGCATCAAACGAACGCCTTTGTTTTCCTACTTAAAATATTTTAAATTAAGATTTTGATGTAGTAAACTAGTTTCTGGTCTCTATCTACTTTCACATCATATTGTTTCTCATGAATTTATTAAAATTCTTTATGGAGGCGGCCTGTATACTTCATTTGATATTAATTTTTGCACTTTTCATAATTTGTTATTTGCAGGGTGTCGACTTACTTTCACCACCTGGATTTTCACCGGTTTTAGCACATGGCTTTGCAGAATTAATCAAGAATCATTTGATGGGTCGTAGACCATCATCACAGCTGTCATGTCGTTGCAAATTCTGCTTCAGCTCACGTTGTTTACTTCGAGAAACAATGCTGGCACCAAAAGAAATGCCCTCCAATGAAATATTTTTAGAAAATGCTTTAGGGGGCGAAAAGATAATTCAGCAAAAAAGGCTGCAAATTTCAGCTTGAAAATATTAAAATACTTAGATGAAGACGATTTCTTAAAATTCATCGAATTTTTGTTGCTAAAAGTTATCAACTCACGATCCGTAAATAATATTTCCATTACCATTAAAGATTAATTTTCTTCGTATTAGCTCCTTAGTGTGGATCACGTCGACGTGTTAATTTTATACTGTGCATTGCTAAATTTCGATTTTAGTGATTTTAATCAAGCGATAACATTTCTTTAACATTGTTTTGCGCTGTCATATTCTTAATATTTATTTGGGAATAGTTGTATAAATTTAAAACCAATTCATGAGCATTATTGAACAAGTTGATAGATATTTAGTATTTATTGAACAAGTTGATAGATATTTAGTATTTGAATAAAATGTTATGGAATATGTTTACCTTTGAGATTGTAATATGGCTGCGCTTTGAGGTCCGTGAACTATAATCTTGATGAAGAGCGAGGATGAATGATATTGAGAAATAATAGTGATGTGCATTGGAACTTTCTGACTTCTCTTAAAACTTGATAGCCGTTCTGTTCTGTGCTAGCGGTGATAACAGAGTCGGCTTATTGAATCTAATAGAAAATTATATATAATATGGTTGGATTTTAATCGAGACATGTATTTTTTGGGAACCTTTAAATTTGCTATTGCTCTTTGCCTTTGTGGGGACGACCAAATCTGCAGTTTTGTTTACGGACTAGGTATTCATTAATCAACAATGAATTACATGTCCAGCGCAATCATTTTCTACTGTGATCAACAAAGAAGCTTGTTTATGAGTTATTTTTGGTCTTTCTCAACCCTTATGCAGCGTGCAGAAGTTGATTATGTGATATAAAATTTGATGCTGCAATAATTTAATGAAAGCTTGAAATTCCATAACACCCTGGTCGAAAGTGCTGTTCTAAAGCAGCCTGTATGTAAACTTTCCGAGATATTCCATTCCGTTATCGCGTTTGAGCTTCAATGATTAAGAATCTCTTTTGGAGAGTTAATTACATTTATTATTGCCTTTCTTGTCCTTTTTTCTCTATGTCTGAATACCAAAGGATTTTTAAGCTATGATATTTGATCAGTTCACTACCTTCCCACTACATTTCCAATTGTTTTAGGTTCAACTAAAGCTGAAAAGAGCGGGGGATGGGGATATGTTAGAGTCTCTTGCGAGTACAATCTGCAACATTGAGTAATTTCTGAAGTGGTTCTGTTTCAGTGATCAAAAATTTGGAACGATGGAACAATCCGGATAATCTGTTGGAGAGTTAAAAGCAAGTAGATGAAGTAAATGGTGAAAATCAGAAAAGTAACTGTGCGAATAGGTCAATGAAAAGGTCATCAAAGAATTGATTTCCATCGATATGAGAAGGAGCCATTTTGTAGGACACCCCAATAAATGTATTTGTGATGCATTACTGTGTGATGACACAGATCAGTAAGTCTCTTAAAAAAAGCCAAACAAAGCATGCCGAATTCCTGCATGAGGTGTGTGGTGTCGCATTATGGTAAAAAATGTCAGTCCCTCACCAGTCACTCATGTCAAGAGTGAGATTTGACCTGTGTGTGGTTCTTGCAATCTTTGACCTACACTCTTTCTCTCCCTCTCTCTCTGTTGCAGATGGTCCCTTTTTTACAAACTAACACATTATCAATTGCAAGACTCAAGGCATTTAAATTGGCTGAATGCCAAAAGTCTTCATACTGCAAATCGAAGAGAACGTCTAGACGGCGGACGCCTGATTGCGGCGTCTGTGGCATGCGTGTGTATATGTGTGTCTGTGGGTGGGCGTGTATCGATCGGCGTGGGTGGAGGTGTCGTTTGGTGGCAGAGCCGTCTATCCGTCTGTCTATGGAGGGTTCATTGAAGGGAGAGAAGGGATCCTCCTTGTATTTGCACGTGAAGGGGGTAAAAATAAGTGTCCCTGAACAGGTCAACCCGTGGGTCGCCCCCTATGCTCGCAGTGTCTTTGCTCCTGTTCGCTTTGTCCCTTCCCATTTTCCCTTCTCTGCTGTCACTCTCACTATCAGGTCATCGATTCAGTTGGCTATTTCTTCAGTGTCCTCTCAGATTGTCACCTGCAAGGGACATTCATCACGTCATTTCTTTATCATACTTCCAATTGTTTTGCTATATTTCCGCCAATTTTTTTGCAAAACTACACCATCGATTGATTATTTTATTGATTAATTAATAGAAGGTAAGTGAGTACCGATGTTCATATTTTTCCTCAGAGAGTACAGCTTTGACATTGTGAACGAAAGGTCGGTCTTTTCGACAGTTTATGATTTCACTGTAGTGATAGCGCCCATTTCGGCAGCAAACCTCTTTTTGCATTTGACACCTTTGATCTCTGATGTATTGATGGAAGGTTTTGAGCAATACTGATAGTTTTTATGTTTTGCATGGTTAACTTCCCTTCCCATTTCATTTCTACTTCTACAACTTCATTATGTTCGCTTCTTTCTGGTTCACGTAAAGAGAAATAACAGAAATAATTTTTCTCTAAAATTTTTGCCGAATGAAATAAGTACCGGGAAAGCTTGCAATGTGTCTTGAGCAATGTATAACTAATCTATTTAACTTGGATTTGTTTTTATATCGTTGCAAATGTATCTGCTAAGTTGGAAGTGCTTATCGTAAAAAATGATTATTATACCATAAGTCAGCGCTTATGTGTAAAGAACAAAAGAAGTGTATATGTATATTACAGTTTGATTCACATGAATGAAACTTGTGCAGATTCCATTGACTTGCGTTATATTCCGGAGGAATTGATATCTTTCCGCAGTCCTTGGATTGGATTATTGAGTTTATGTTACAAAGAATGTTGAACATTCACAAAAGGAAGAATTAAACATTGTTCAATAAAAAGCGTGGTGAAAATTCAGAAAATTTATTGCGCTTTTGTGAAAAGATTGGGTGATAAGTTGATCTCCCTTATGATTCTTCCATACAAGCAATTCATTTTCGAAAGTAAATTTATTTCTGGAAGTTTTTCCGATTGAAATTGTAGTTACTAGCAGTGGCATTGAAAGAATCTGATAGATAAAAAAGATAGGTATTTTTTGAGAAAGAGCCACTTCTCCAATATTTTCAATATATTTAGCTTTATTTAACTTCTCTATGGTAATTGAGCTATAATGACCAGCTTATTTATTATTTATTATACTCATATCGGCGCATGCAAAAATGTAGTAAATTTAAGGGGTTCCATTGGTATTAAGTTGATGTATGACATATAGTAGTGATGAGTGATTTGTTAGTGTTGAATGATGGGAACATCACACAATCGGTGGCGCAGAAATCACGTTTACAGTGTGATTTATCATTATGTATATGCGAGGAATGGAGTGATGAGGGACTTCGAATATCTCCACGTTGAGCAGAAAGAGGTGGTGGTTAGTGTTGTGATGTAACTGTAGGAGAGGAAAGGGGAGTTGTGAAGTATAGTCAATTCCAGGGTTTTATAGAACATTTTGCTCTGCAACATGTATTTTTTTAGCGCTCTGCATCCCAGTTTTTTTTGTGGAGAACCAGCAGCAACCGGTATCCTTCTTGCATTTTGCGTTTTCGCTCAGACATTCCCTCTATAAAATACCCCTATTTTTGTAGATCTTGTCTTAAATGCAACACAGAATTTGCTTAATTTATTATTAAATGCTGTTCCCTTTGATTTGCTTTCTCTGGCGTTTAATTTATGGCTAACACGTTACAACGCTTACTGCTTGTAGAGAAACTTGGGATTCTCAGTGTCTTGCCTTCTACTTTTGCTATTTATAAATGCAGTGTGTTTTATTAGCATATTGGAAATCACAGCTCCAAATTGACCTATAATAAAATGGAAATGCTAATGAAAGAATGAGATGTCAATGTGGAAGTGTTTATTGGATTTCAGAAGAATTTTCTTTCTTTACTATTCTTTCAATAACTCTCAAAAATTAATTTAACTACCTCGATATAATTGTATGCCAAATAGAATCTTATATATGTTGCTATGTTCGAAACGTAGGAAGCAGCCAACTACCGTTCAAGTTCTGCATCAAATATTTCATATAACAACATCCAGACTACATACTAATGAAATCATCGGGCAGATATAATCAACAACTAAAGTACGAAATGAGTGATTGTGAGGTAGTGCGAACGCTCTTGACAGTTGATTACTGAGTAATGAGTGAAATATAACCGGATGGATCAATGAATAGATTGATCTGACCGCATCCATTCGTGACTAGTGGTTGTTGTTTCAAATTTTTTTTAATTCATAATTTGTATTCCCGTGTTTCAGATGGAGTCAAATAAGATTTAGGATTTCACTGATTAATTATTTGGATTTGGCCTATATTTAATTGTATAGAGAGATCTAATTGAAGTGTGTGAAATGGCGCAAGATTTTTAGTTTATTTGGAGTATAATTATACTTCCATCTGCTGCATTTTTATTCGTATTAGTGAAAAATAATGACATTTCTCCTCGTCATTTCTGTTTAATAGAAAAGAGAGATATCGGACACACTACACCATTATTCACGGTACATTCTTTGAGGTTAATAAAGTTTTTTGCAACATTTGTTGCATCCTGTTTCTGTGCTTTGAATGGCACTGTTTAATCATTGATGTATCGTACTGTTTGTGTAACTATCGCTGTATTACAGAAGTGATAGTTTGACGGATCAAGTTTTACAAAGTATTTTGTATTCTTCGCTCTCCCTGGCAATAATGTTGCGGTCTATCAAGTTCATAAAATTGTTTTATTTCAGAATTGATACCACTTATAAGCATATTTGGAAAGTGAATTGACGACGAGAAGTTATCGCATGCAATTTGGACGCATGCAATTCCTTAATCTGTCCTTGGGCAGTTGAGTTAGCTTCGTTGGGAATATCACGATTGCAGGAAAACATTACAAGAGCTTGAGTCGTTACAGATTCCCTGCTAAATTTTTCACCTGGTTTTGTCTTCGAGTAGAGCACTTGTGCTCAGCATTTCAACCGACAAAATCGTGCCGTCACGGAAACTTCTAAATCATTGAAGCATTCAAGTTGAATCGTTCCCGTATATTGCTAAAGCCGTATGATCGGCACAGTCTTGAAAGCTGCTCAGCAGTTTCTTGTACTGGGAGCTGCATAGCAGCACTAGCAACAGCGCTTTACTGTAGTGCTGTAGCGAAACGTTCTCGAGAAGCAAAAAGTGAAATAAAGGATCTGAACATTTGCAATTGCGACGATTGTTTAACGACTAGTATCGTTAGCATGAATTCTGCGACTTCAACGAATGTCGGTTCTTCCGCCATATCACATACAACTGATACGGGAACCAAAAAGAAAGGTGGCAGTAATAGCAAGGATAGTGATTCTGAAGGCGAAGGAGCTGAAGAGGTTTGTTTAAAAAAGTCTTAAGAATTGCGAATTGTTAGTTGTAACTTTGTAGATTAACCTTCATAGGGTTTATGATGCTGGCGACTTTCTCCTTTTTTAGAGATCTTCAACTTTGTTGATTGTTGTTACTCTTGCAAAAATGATGGGCAAACTTTTGTGTAATGTTAGTTTCTGCAACGATTCATTATCTTTCATCGAAATTCTCAGATGGAGATAAGCTCCTGCTAGAAAATGATGGGTCTAATTAATGAAGTTGTGTTCGGAAAGATTTGAAAGATCCTAAAATCAGAAGTTGACAGGAGATAAGTAGCCGATGATTTATATAAATGTTGCTATATATCCCCTTGCGCGGGTTGAATGGGCGGGTTTACCATGCTCACCCTTGATCATCCATATTGGACTTATTTTAATTAACGTGGGCCAGTTGCTGTTGGGAAGTATATTCGTGCCTGTAGGATGGCCTTGGATACTTTTCACTTGTATTTCAACAGTGGTGAAGTAAGTTTGCTTTTAGAATAATGGATTTTATTAATTTTGCACATGAAGTTAACGGCTAATATTGGATAGTAAGTGTAATTTCTCCACCTAACTTTGTCCTTTTTTTTAAACCCCCTGTTCTTAATTTTCAAATTCATCATAAAATCTTCGTTGAAGGAGACTCAAGAGATCCTAAATGTGACCGTGAAAAACAGCTGTGTCAATTTTCCCCTGCATTTTTAATTTATTAATCGATTCCTCTATCAGCCAATTGTCCTTGGTATTATAATGCGCTTAGTGCTTTTTTTATTGTAAGCTGCGTTACACGCTTTTCCATCTTTTCTTAAAAAGGGATAAGAAATTTACCTCCATTTCATTTTGGATCTTATGTGTTGGTCATTTTTTTCTAGATCTTAGAGGAAAGCCCATGCAAAAGGTGGAGTAAGCGGCGTGAGCAAGTAAAACAGCGTAATGTTCCTGGGATTGATTATGCTTACTTGGCAATGGACAATGAAACAGGTAACGAAGTGGTGTGGAATGAGGTGCTGTTCTCCGAACGCAAGAATTTTCGTTCACAAGAAGAACATATAAATGCAGTTTTTGACAAACTGACTCACCTCGTGCATACAAATCTTGTTAAATTCCATAAATACTGGACAGATTCGAAATCTGACAAACCAAGGGTTCGTTTAAATGCATATTTTTTGTGCATCATAAAGATATGAAAATTCTCAATTTTGTTTGAGCTTGAGTCTTTCAAATTTGAAATAACAGATATTGTTTGTTTTTTTCTCACATCCCACTCTTCAGAAGAATATATGCAAGATTTAAGAAGGGTTAAGGAAATTTTGCGGGATTTTGATTTTAAATTCGGGAACCTATCCTGGGGACTTTATGGTATATCACGGGGCAGTATTTGTAGGATGAGTAAATATACTTCCAGTCTTTTTCTGATTCATATTCTTGCATCATTCTGTGTCACAATGATGCAGGATATTTTTTTGATAGCTTCAAACTTGTTTAGCATTTTAGTTAGGCCTTCAAATTCGTCAAATTTGATATATCATTTTTCTTCGTATTGTTTCAGATAATATTCATAACAGAGTATATGTCATCTGGTTCTTTGGCACGATTCTTACAACGTACTCGCAAATCTGGAGCTGCTTTAAATTTGAAGGTTGAATTTTTTTTCCTCTTTGATTTGAATGGAATAGCGTTCAACATTTTTCTGGCTTGATTTACAACTCTTTATACATATCAACTCTCTATACGTCTCCAATTTTTTTTTTTTGCTTCGTTATTTTTTTATTTTTATTCTTGAATATTTTATTGCCTTATTTAGGTAATTCGTTTTTAGGCCTGGAAAAAGTGGACCATCCAAATTCTCTCTGCTTTGAATTATTTACACTCATGTGATCCTGCAGTCGTTCACGCAAATCTTACTTGCAACACAATGTTCATTCAGCATAATGGTTTGATCAAGATCGGTTGTGGTGAGATACTCAAATGACTTTAATTTTCATATCAATTTTCTGATTGTCTTTGGTACGCAAATGAACAGCAGGTTATTGTAATATAATTAAATTATCTATTTAACGAAGAATATTTTATGAAAAAAATACGACAAAGTTTAGCATTTTATGGAATTTATTACATAGTGCAATCTTTTAGTCGCTCCGACTGCAATTCAACATCATGTGAAGACGTTTCAAGAGAATATCAGAAATATGCATTACATTGCGCCTGAATATGAACGTAAGCTTTCATATGAAGAATTTTATTGTTAGGGAAATTGTAATCAAGATTGCAATTTTCGTTGTGGCCTCATGATAAAAGTTGGGTCTCTTGTTCTTAATTCTTTCTCTTTGGGGTCTGTGGAATAAATTTTTGTTTTTTCAGATACGGATACCATTTCCTCTACCAAAGCGTCGTTTGCAGTTTTGATTACTCCTGATTTTTTTTTAATTTTTAATAGTTTGATTCCAGATTGTAATGCTGTAGCTCCGCCAGCTGACATCTATTCCTTTGGAATATGTGCGCTAGAGGCAAGTTTAATCTCGAATATGAGCTTAAGTATTGGGCAGTGTAAGTTCTGACCACAAAAAGACTTGAACTGGGGCTGAGTTATTCGCCTCAGGTTCCAGACTTGTGCTTCCTGCAGCATTAAAGTCTCTGCAATTTTTGTTGATCTTTTCAGATGGCTTTGCCGATGGGTTTATGTGGTTCTTCAAATGGTACTGAAACAAGTGTTGTTTCACAAGAAATGGTTAGGAAAGCATTAGAATCGTTGGAAGATCCTCTGCAAAAAGTAAGAATTTAATACATTTGATTTAAATGTTCGTTAGCTCTTTTATTCTTTGTAATTTTTGATGTTCAGGACTACACTTCATAGTTGCAGAACGTTTGTAGTATCAGTTTTGAAAGCTTCAAGCATTTGTTGTAAAAAAGGTACTCCTATTCAATATTTTTTTGATTGCCCGTGAGTATAAAATTATATTTCAGGATTTCATTGAGAGCTGTTTGAATCAGGATCCATCTAAAAGGCCTACTGCTCGAGATTTATTGTTCCATACTGTTTTGCTTGAGGTAGTCTTTAAATTTGCTTTTTTCTATGCTTCATTTTTAATGGTTCAAGTAAAAGTGAGACACGCTTTGGTTGTAGCTTGTGATGTCATATTCTGATGAGTAATTTAGGCCAGCGTGGCGGTAGTTCTTATCAAAACAATTAACAGAAATTCACAGAAAAAACTCTTAAATAACATTATCCTCATATCTGACTTAGGTACATTCTTTAAAATTATTGGCTGCTCACTGTATTGTCTCGTCGAAATTGAATGATAGTTTAAACGAAGATGATCTGCATGTGGAGGATCCGAATCGCATTGCAGCGACATCGACATTTTGCGAAATGGCTTATAACCAAGTCCCTTCTTTTCAGGTATTGGTTCGAACTGATAGCCAATTTATAAATGAGGCAGTTTTACAGATAACATTAGAGATAACATCGTCACTTTCTTTTGAAAAGCGGATGTAGGATTATATTTCTGTGCATGTATTTGTACTTACAGACGATAATTTCAGATAGATCTGGAAAAATTTTTGGAAGATGTAAGTAATGGAATATATCCGCTCATAGCATTTACTCCTCTTCCTCATCAACAAAGAATGACGGCCTCGACATCATCATCCGCCATAATTGGCGAGCAGCAACATGGTATTTGAATAATTTTTCTAAAATATGATATGACTTCTTTTGAATCAAGTGTTAATATTCTAATAAGTATTTACTATGATCCTCTTCAAACTGAAAATTTGTAACTTTTATAGAAGATCGTGGGTCAGATGGTGACAAGCCGGAACCGACGCCTTCCCCTCCAGCAGATTCACCGGTGGAATACAAAGAAAGCAGGTCAATCATCAAATGCACAGTCACACTTAACGGTAATTTCAAATTTATAGTAGGAAAATTATAGTAAAAAAAATCGGTCGATGAATGATCTGTTATGGATTTCACTTCCATTTTATATTTTAACTCAAATATTGTTATAATCTAAGTTCAAAAATTGATAGAGTCTAGTTTGTATATATA